CAGGGAGCAATAAACTTTCCCTTCCCCCCCCAAGGAAACTTGGCCTGGCTCTTCTTTACCGCGCCGAACCTTTCAATCCACATTCATGTCTAATCTAATTGTTATTGATATTTTATCTCAATGACTTTTTTTTTATATATATAGAGGCATGTTATTTATTTATTTGTTTGTTTTGTTTTGTTTGTTTATACATGCACTGGGTACAGTCAGCAGCGCGGGAGGGTGAGAGAATTCACCAGAGCCAGAGCGGGGAGCAGAGCAGGCAGAAGGACCGAAGTACACTGCTGAGGGGAGCAGCGGGCAGCAGGAGAGGTCTGCGCGCCATGTGGGACCCTCCTCTGGTGGCTGGGGAGCAGCTGGAGATCGAACCAGCGCGAACCAGCGCTGCAGAGGCCGCGGGCAGCCTCGCAACCCAGCGCTCAACTGCTGCGCCACCGGGGAGGCCCTCAATGACTTTTAATTTGAATTCATATTCTTATGAGTGGGGATGATTCTTTTTAATATATATAAAGAACATTTATATCTTATTTTTATTTGTACTTTTTTAAAGATTAATTTATTTATGCATACAAGAACTGGGGTACAGGCCAGAGGTGTGGGGGGTGAGAGGATTCACATTCACCAGAGACAGAGTGGGGAACAGAACAAGCAGACTGATTGAAATACACTGCTGAGGGGAGCAGTGGGAGAGACAGGAGGGGACTGCTGTGCCATGTGGGTCACTTCCCTGGCTGGAGGTTGAGCTTGTGCTGCAGTGGCTGCGGATAGCTTCATAGTGCTGTGTCCTAACCCTTAAGCCACCAGGGAGGCCCCTGTACTTTTTTAATGAGTTGATGGTCATTTTATTGTTGTTTTGCAGGAGACTTTAGTATATTGTACCCAACATCTTGTAAAAAGTCAGATTTATTGAAGTATAAATTACGTATAATAAGACTCGCCTTTTCCTTTGTATGTGGAAGCCCCTCTAGCTGGAGGCCACATGTTGATGCTTTGCAGTACTTATTTGAAAAACATCATTCTCATCAATTGCAGTAAGAGAGTTACTAGGAAGGGGTTACAGTGAAAGGTACAGGCAATGGGAAGTGTGTTCCATGGAAAGAGGTTAAGCACTGGATTTTGACTATGTGGGCTCCAATACTGTTTTTGCCACGTATTGACTCGGTGATTTTGTTCAAATAACATCACCTCTTTAGGTCTCAGTTCCCTCATCAGTAAAAAATCCTCAAAATAAAATTCCATCAGATAACAAAAGCATGCTATCTAGTGTTGCCACAAATTTAGGCATTTAATGTTAGTTTCCTTTTCTAGAGTGAAAGTCTAGCCACTTGAGGCAGCATGCCCTGAGGCAGCAGAATGAGGGGTGGTGTGTGATTGATTCTTGACCTTGACCTCAGGCCCTGCTGCAGTATTATTCCACTAAAAAAGATCACTTATATTCCTTTTTCCAGCTTGACACCCCTAGAGTCAGGCTGAATGTTTCCTTTGCTCATAAAATGGGCTCATATATCTGTTTAAGTGAACACATTCCGTGAGTAATAACTCCTTTCAGTGAGGCATTTGTCAAAACCACCCTGCCAAACCTGTTCTTCTGCCTTAGTGATTAGTGCCCTACTGGCTTTCTCCTGATACCATGACCTGTTGGTCCAACAGCCTTAAATTAATAAAGAGGTTGAAAAGAGAATTTGTTCCTCAACAAGTCTGGCTTTTCTATTCCCAGCAGTGAACCTTCTGTTTGCTGTGAGGGAGGCAAGACAATCACAGCAGAACTAATCAGTTTCCTCCCCACCTGAGCAGACAAAAAAATGAACAGTGTTTGCTGGCTCCTTGCACATGTTAGATGGGTGTCCTCACTGTGGTCCTGGTGTTGTTCCTATTTTCCCACCACCAAAGGAGAAAGCACAGTTCAGAATGCAGAGGTAAGTCCACCTTTGAGAATGAACCGCTCCCATGCTCTTCATGGTCCTGAGGTGTGGGAGTTAAACTAAGAATTATGTATTCTGAAGATGATCTAATAGAAGAGCCCAGTGACTACACAGTGAAACTTCAATCTCTTGTTGGAAAGGGAAGAGAAAATACCTGAGTTTCACAGTTCATCTCTTATGTGGCCTTTAAGAGGCATGAAAAGATTACTGAATATGGAATTCAAGGAACCTAGGTTTTTAATACCAATTCCTATTACTAAAGTCCCAACACCACTCACTAGTTGCTGTGTGCTTACCACATGCCAGGTGCTTTATGAGAACTATTCAGTCTTCACAGCCTTGACTCTATGAAGTGTGTACTATTATTTCCCCCCATTTACAAATGAGGAAGCTGATGAGATGCCTGCATAGGCAGGTAAAGAGCTGAATTTGAAAGGGGTAGGTATAAGAAAGAGGCATCTACATAGACACAAGTGAGCAGTCTTAAAGGACAAGAGCTGCATTCTCCCAGAGTAAGGGGCATCTGTATATCGTGTTTGTGTTCTTTGATGAAATTTCTGCGGATTTTGTTGCTTTGAGGTCAGGTTGGGTTGTTTTCTGTAGCTGATAATCATCTCTAATCCCACCTCTGGTTTCTGACCTTGTGAAAACCTCCATCCTAAATTTTTCTGCTCTTAAGCTTCCATTTTTATGGCGATACCTCTGTTAGAGCAGCAGCTGTAAATACCATTTTCAGCCCAGAACGTTTTCCGTACTTTTAAAAACAATACTCCCCCAACTCTTGGGTACTCCTCCCCTTCTCTTCAGTGGGGCTGTCAATTACAATTTCTCACTCATCCCCACCCAAGGAAGACTGTTGCCAGCCAGCCATTCAGGGCCTGTCTTTTTTTATAGTATGGAGCTGGAAGAATGGGAATTTGGAGATATTTGAATGTGGAGATATTTGATTACTTGATTTCACTTAGTTTCATGGAGGAAGTTAGGGTGTAATGTGAGAGGATTTTTGTTTTAAGGAAGTAATCTTTGTGATACACTCAACTTTATTAAAGCTGTTTCCTCATCTGACAAGTAAGGTGGTTGACTAGATTACATAAATTAATGCATTTAAAGCACCTATCATATGGTGAGCAAATAAAGTAGTAATTATTATTATTTTGGTTGCAATTCCATATTCAATATGGAGCAGAAGAACTCCCACTTTCCAATACTTATTTCCCCTTTTTTTTTTACAAAAAAGATTTATTTATGCATATAAGAACTAGGGTGTAGGCCAGAGGTACGGGGGGAGGGGGAGGATTCACCAGAGAGAGTGGGGAGAACAGGCAGATCTACTGAAATACACTGCTGAGAGGAGCAGCGGGTGAGACAGGAGAGGTCTGCTGTGCCATGTGGGTAGCTCCCTGGCTGGCTGGGGATGGAACTCGTGCTGCAGTGGCTGGCGGCAGCTTGTGTCTTTAACCCCTGGGCCACCAGGGAAGACCTTATTTCCCTTTTCTCCACCAGGAGTCAGGTCATTTTGGAGTCTGATGGATCACTATGGCTGTTTGGCTTTGTTATGAGAACAGCTTATATCTGTGGACAAGTTACTCCTATTGTAATAGTGTGATATCCATAGAAAGGGGAGGTTCTAGGTTCCCTACCCCACCCAAGGAAGGGCGGAGCTGAGCAGTGAGGAGTAGCTGAAAAAAAGACTGGGGAAAAGACTTGGGAAAGAAGGAAGGAAGGAAGGAGGAGAGACTAGAAAAAGGCCTGGAGGGGGGACTTGGAGCAGAGAGACATGTGAAGAAGCCTGCGTTTGCTTCTTGGTCTTGATCTTGCAAGTCCCTGGTGGGACTTGGGGGACATGGAAGGAGACACTTGAAAGAGAAGTGGGTGAGAGACCCATGGGAAAGCTGACAGCGGCAACCTTTACTTTGCTTTGTGTTTTGATTTTGCTCTTTTCCTTCCAGAATTACCTGGCCCCTTCTGCCCCTTTCTTTATGGGTCCCCACCAGAAAGTGCTGGTCTCAGTGGCCCTGCTTTGGGCCCACCTTGTTTGGCTGAACATTCACCTATGAGGGGATTGGTAAATGGGTGTTTCATGGGGAAACTATTTTAACTGTTCTTTCTCTTCTATTGCACACTAATTCTATTAATGTCTTTTTCTATTGAAAGGCTTACACACTAAGAATATGTTTGTCTTTATGTGGTAGATGGCAGGACCCATATAGGCCAGGCAGGGTTGGGGGGCCAAGGGTGCCCTTTGGTCTGCCAGCTAACATTATGAATCCCCAACTATGTAAAGATAACTGCCATTTGTATAAGGCTTAATCTGTACAGATATTGCCCTAAATACTTTAAAAGCATTCCTGCATTTAATTTTTTCTCGAATCCCCCAAGTAACAATTATTGACCATGTTTTTCAGCTGAGGAAACTGAAGTTCAGAAAGTTTAACTTGTGCAAGCAGCACAGCTAGGAAGCAGTGCAACGGTACTTGAAATTGGAGAGTCTATTGTGCTATCTCCTAGGGTTAATGAGACTCAAAGAAGACATGCTGTGTAAATCAGCTTACACTTAGCTTTATTCCGTTAAGAAGACTATTATTTCTCCGTTGTCACCTTCTCAGCAATCTTGCTTTGTCTTAAAGGTGAACTCCCTTTATTTCCCGCCCCCCCCCCATTATTTGCTTCCACTTATCCTATTACATATGGGCTTTATTATCTCTCGTTTCCAATGTCAACTCCACTTGGGCGAGTTTTTGTCCCGCTCGCTTGGTGTTATCTTCTCACATACAGCACAGAGGGTGGTGGTGGGGGGGGTACGAGGAAGGCAGGCAATCATCGGATACTAGTCCAGAGAATGTATAACAAGCTTCACGAAACTTCCGGAATCAACACTAAAAGGGCGTGGATTTAACCTCCAGGTCATAGTACTCGCCTTCCCGCTTCCCTGTGGGTGACGAAGAAAGGAAGGGCCCGCCCCTCTTCCGGCCCCGCACGCACAGAGCCGCCGCCGCACAGCTCGCCCGCCGATTGGACAACGCGCGGGGGTTTGTAAAGTCGCGCTCGGTCGTCGTTTCCGCTGCGTCGGCGCTTGCTGTGTGCGTCATATCCGGGCGGCGCCGAACTGGGTGCCCAACGGCCTGCGGAGCAACATGCCTAAGTGAGTGGGAATCGGATTCTGGGATTGTTCGCGGCCGGGATCACTGGTTATGAACTTGTGGGGCAGCGCAGGACGGGCTCTGGCTTCTGAAGCCCTTAGAGAAAGGAGAGGATCTCGGGGGCGGGGGGAGACGCGGACTGCAGATACGTACCTTTTTCGAGTGTAGAGGTCGATTCCGGGGAGGCCACAAAAAAGCGGTGTGTGTCAAGATGCTTTGTTTGATGTCTTCAAATCGTGCATACGTGACTGTGTTTTTAACCTACAGTGAACAGCACTTCGGTGGTTGGGCATCTGTTAACTGGTTTTCATTTTGTCTTTTTTCTCCGCCTTCCACTCGTAGGTTTTATTGTGACTACTGCGATACGTACCTCACCCATGACTCTGTAAGTGGTATTTCTTTAAAGTTTCAAAGACCTTATGTGTAGTAATTTTTTTTTTTTTTAGTTATGAGTTTGTGGTTTTTGTCCTGCCGAGGTTTAAGGGCTACTCCTTGGAGAAGACAGTTTAAGTGTTTCTGTTTTCATCTTGCCTGTAACTGTCTTCATAATTTGACGTTATTAGTCTTACATTGGTTAGTGTTTACACTGGGGAATCAAAATGAATAAGTTTTGTCAGGTTTGGAGATTAAAAAGCTCAAATATTTGTAGTGGGCAGGCAAGTGTTTGAATCACAAAGAAATGCATCGATTTGAAACAGAATACTTTGATTTGATTAAAAATTGCTTAATATACTATCAGCCACTACGATTGAATACTTAGTGTGTGTCAGGCTGTTACAAATGCTTTACATGTGTCGATTTTGTTTAATGCTCTATGATTAGTCCATGAAATTAGTATCATCTCCCAGTTTATGGAGGAGGGAACTGAGTCTGTGTGGAGGAATAACTGACTGAATGTTAAAAAAGCATCAGGTAGTTAAGAGCTGGAAGATGAACCTAGTTAAACTCTAGGGCTGCTGTGTCAGCAGCTCTCAAAACCTTTTTGTTTCCTGGTGCTTTACACTCTTTTTTTTTTTTTTTTTTTCCTGGTGCTTTACACTATTAAAAATTTCCGGGCTATTAAAAAATTGTTGGATTACGTGGTTTATATCTTTATTTGGTGTATTGAAATTAAAATTTAAGAAATACTAATTCAGGGGCGTCTCTGGTGGCGCAAGGCGTTAAGACGCAGCCTATGAAGCTGTCTGTAGCCTCTGCAGCACAAGTTTGATCCCTGGCCAGCTGTGGCCAGCAGCCCACATGGCGCAGCAGACCTCTCCTGTCTGGCCCGCTGCTCCCCTCAGCAGTGTATTTCAGTAGATGCTGGTTCTGCTCCCCACTCTGCCTCTGGTGAATCCTCTCACCCCCCCCCCCCCCCCACACCTCTGGCCTGTACCCCAGCTCTTGTATGCATAAATAAATAAATCTTTTTTTTAAGATACTAATTCATTTAAAAGTAACAAAAAACATTTTACATTAAAAAAATTAAAATGTAGCTATTTTCCAAATCAAAATATTTAGTATGAAGAATGGCCTTCTTTTAACATTTTTGCAAACCTTTGTAATGTTTGACTTGATGGAAGATGTTTGGACTCTCATTTCTCCTTTAAGTCTGTTACAATATATTATTTTGGTTGAAGTATAAGAAGAACCCAGCCTCACATATAAGCCTATATACTTGAAAAAAAGGAGGAGCACTTTAATAGCTTTTTTAGATAATTGTGTATATTCTTTTATAGATGTATATTGTTTAATACTTTATATAATTGCACCAAAACACAACATGTGGCTAGTTGTAGCATGGACTCTGAATCCGTATCAGATTTTTCATATGGTTACATTGGAATTCATTGGTTCATATTGCACTTTGACTGACTCTTTTATCATATATTATAAAAATTCACATTCATTCATGGCACAATCTAATGAGAAAAGACTTTTTTAGGTATTGGGACACTGACAAACTCTGTATGGCATATTAGATTTTCTGGAATTCTCAGTTTTGCTTGGAAATGCAAATTTTAGCATTGGCAATTAATACTGTTGATTGCTCTGCTTGAAGTGACAGGCTCACTTCATGTATTTTTGAGAAATCTGAATGACCAGTTTATTTCTCAGTTGTCGTTTCAAATAAAAATGATCTTACATTACAGAAGCACTTGAACAAATTATGTGCCCGCTTTCCTTTGAAATAGCATACTTTAGTATGCAACCCTTAAGTGCTTTGTACGTACTTCCCATCATTCATCCAGAATATTAAAAAGACATGAACTCAAGGGTTGAGATTTAATTAAATTAAAAATTTTATTCCTTCAAAGATAGTCTTTTTTTTTATAATACTTATTTATACATACAAAGAACTGGTGTGTAGGCCCGAGGTGGGGGTGGGGGGTGAGAGGATTCACCAGAGACAGAATGGGGAGCAAAACAGGCAGATCTACTGAAATGCACTGCTGAGGGGAGCAGTGGGCGAGTCAGGAGAGGTCTGCTGCGCCATGTGGGTTAGCTTCTTGGCCAGGGATGGAACTGGTGCTGCAGTGGCTGCGTATAGCTTGATAGTGCTGAGACTTAACTCCTTGCACCCCCAGGGAGGCCCCATCAAGGACAGTCTTCATGAAATTAGTCTCCCCTTCTCCTCAGAAGTGTATGACGTTGAAGGACATATTCACTAGTGCATTGGGTGCCATTGCTTTGACTCATTTTAAAATGTCATGAGTTTGGCATCATAAATGTCAGTACAAATGTCAATACAGTGAAAAAGGAAAGAAATGTCTTAGTACTATTTGAAACTATTTTGGCATTGCTCACTCCCTGAAGGGTCTCAGAGATCCTTCATTATCGGAACTACACCTTGAAAATTGTAGCTCTATAGTTTGCTGCCTCTGAGGAGTCTGAATCTGAACTCTTGATCTTGTCATCTTTAATGTAGCTTTAAGAATCTAGCACATGATTTCTATTTCTATATTGTCAATTTGGAATTCTTTCTAGCACGTGGTTGATGTAGTTCAGCAATAATAGACTTGTGGGAACTATAAGTAGGGTGGTTCCTCTTAAAGAAATAATATTTCTGGGTATTATTGTAAAAGACTCGTTCAGTTAGCTAAATTGGTAATAGCTTGCTTATGGATCCCCAGTCTTGGTTTTTCATTTTGTTAATTGTTTGTCTCTTCTCTGGGTCAAATACCTAGTTATAATTTCCTTAAATTGTTAGTGAAGGATCTCTACCTTTCTACCCTTTTTTCAGCACTATATTGTCATTTACCTACTTATCTTGCAAATGCCAGAATTGAGAGATAATTGAAAAATCTCTCTTTAAAACAAATGTTTCTTTATGAAAGTCAGGAACCTCTGTAGTACTTTTTTTTTAAATTTTTTTTTTAAAGATTTATTTATTTTTATACAAGAGCTGGGGTACAGGCCAGAGGCACAGGAGGGTGAGAGGATTCACCAGAGACAGCGCAGGGAGAACAGGCAGAACAGGCAGACAACTGAAACACACTGCTAAGGGGGGCAGTGGGCGTGACAGGAGAGGTCTTCCACACCATGTGGGAATCTCCCTGGCCAGCTGGGAATCGAATCTGCACTGCAGAGGCTGCAAACAGCTTCACAGCTCTGCGCTCAACTCTCTGTGCCACCAGGGAGGCCCCTGTAGTCCTTTTTTTTTTTTTTTAATATTCATTTATGCATACAAGAGCTGGGGTACAGGCCAGGGGTGTGGGAGGTGAGAGGACTTACCAGAGATAGAGTGGGGAACAGAACAAGCGGATTGATCGAAGTACACTGCTGACGTGAGCAGTGGGCAAGTCAGGAGAGGTCTGCGCCATGTGGGTTGCTCCCTGGCCAGCTTGGGGATTGATCTTGTGCTGCAGTGGCTGCGGGCAGCTTCATAGGTTGCATCTTAACCCCTTTGCTCCACCAGGGAGGCACTGTAGTACTTTTTTAAATGATATTTTGTGAAAATACTAGAATACTTCCAAGTCCCTTTTGTGCACTTTGATATGTATAAAACATTTGGTGGTGTAACTTTTGAACTTAGGCATGGTTTTGTTGTTAGTCTTGTTTTAATGTAATGTAAACCTTAAAAAGAAAGTCTCTACTTGGTGATGTTGGTCAATCAACTGGCACTAAAGCAGATATGTAAAGAGTGGATATACCAAAAGGAGAGAAACAGCCAGGGGGAGCAGCTGAAGGAGATTTGAATTCCAGGCCTTGGTTTGTTTCTCACCAGCTGTGCATTTTGAGGCATGTCTCTAAAACTAATTTTACTGAATTATAATTTTTGTTAAATGCACACATTTTAGGTTTACAGTTTGATGGCTTGTCATATAATTACTTTTTTTTTTTAAGGGTTTATTTATTTATGCATATAAGAGCCAGGGTACAGGCCAGAGGTGCGGGGTGGGGGATAGGTGGGTGAGAGGATTCATCAGAGACAGAATATGGAACAGGACAGGTGGATCTACTGAAATATACTGCTGAGGGGAGCAGCGGGCAAGACAGGAGAGGTCGGCTGTGCCATGTAGGTCACCTCCCTGGCTGGGGATCGAACTTGTGCTGCAGTGGCTGCGGACAACTTCATAGTGCTGCGCCACCAGGGAGGCGCCTATAATTACTTCTTGTATATACCAAGACATTGATTATTTCCATCACCCCAGAAAGTTCCCCTATGGTCTTTTGTAGTCAATTTCCTGTACCCCAGGCCCCAATTGATCTGATTTTTATTACTAACATTTGGTGTTACTGGTTTTAAAATTAATTATGAATGTGGAGTCTTATATATTCTGTGTGTCTGATTTCTGAGCAGCAGCATATTTTTTTAATACTTTATTTTATATAATTCTTACATCATTTTTTATCTTTGCACAGTGTATGCATTTTCATTATGGTTACATTCCCCATACAATTGCACCCCTCCTTATTTTGACTCTAGTCTTTCCTCTCCCTGCCTCCCCTCCCCCCCTCCGCCGCCAGTAGTGTGTCTCTGGTTTATAGTTGCTTGTTGACTTTGATTTTTACTTTGTATTGATTAGTCTTTTTCCTGGTCTCTTATTTAAGTTTTCTAAATTCCTGCTATGAGTGAAAAATACCATCCGGTATTTTTCTTTTTCTTTCTGACTTATTTCGCTGAGCATGATCCCTTCTAGCTCCATCCATGTTGCTGCAAACTGCATGTGTTTGTCTTTTTTTGATTGCTGAGTAATATTCCATGGTGTTTATGTGCCACATCTTCTTGATCCAGTCATCTATTTTTGGGCATTTGGGTTGTTTCCAAAGCTTAGCTATTGTAAATAGTGCTGCTATAAACATAGGCGTGCAGGTGCCCTTTGGAATTAATGTTTGTGTCCTTTGGGTAAATACCTAGGAGTGGAATTGCTGGATCATATGGAAGCTCTATGTTTAGTAGGTCCAGAAATCTCCACACAGCTCTCCATAGCGGTTGGACCAGTTTGCACTCCCACCAGCAGTGCAGGAGAGTTCGTTTTTCTCCACAACCTCGCCAACATTTGTTGTTGCTAGGTTTTTTAATATGTGCCATTCTCACTGGTGTAAGATGGCATCTTACTGTAGTTTTGATTTGCATTTCCCTGATGACAAGTGATGTTGAACATTTTTTCATATGCCTGTTGGCCATTTGCATTTCCTCTTCAGTGAAGTTTCTTTGTAGCTCTTCTGCCCATTTTTGGACTGGATTATTTTCTTTGTTTTTGTTGAGTCTCATCAGCTCTTTGTAGATTTTTGTGATCAGTCCTTTATCATTAGTGTTGTGTGCAAAAATGTTCTCCCAGTCGGTGGGGTTTCTCTTTGTTTTGGTTATTGTCTCTTTTGCTGTGCAGAAGCTCTTTAATTTGATGTAGTCCCAGCGCAACAGCATATTTTTATTTATTTATTTTTTCCTAATTCTTTTTTTTAATGATTTATTTGTTTATTTATTTATTTATTTTTAAATTAATAAATTTTATTTTTATATTCCCATACAATTGCAATCCCCCCATTCTGACCCCAATCCCTCCACTCCCGCCCCCACCCCCAAAAAGTGTCTCTGGTTCATAGTTTTTGTTGATTTTGATTTTCACTTTCTATAGTAACTTCATTTTCCTGGTCCCTTATTTAAGTATTCTAGATTCCTGCTATGAGTGAGACCATCCGGTATTTTTCTTTTTCTTTTTGGCTTATTTCACTGAGCATGATCCCTTCCAGCGCCATCCATGTTGCTGCAAATTGCATGTGTTTATCTTTTTTGAATGCTGAGTAATATTCCATGGTATATATGTACCACATCTTCTTGATCCAGTCATCTATTTTTGGGCATTTGGGCTGTTTCCAAAGCTTAGCTATTATAAATAGTGCTGCTATAAACATAGGGGTGCAGGTGTTCTTTGGAATTGATGCAACAGCATATTTTTAAGATTCATCCACATTGCATGTATTAGTGATTCTTGTTGATTAGTATTCCATTTACCATGCTCATTTGATTTTTATGAACATTTAGACACTGCTTATAAAGAGCTTAGCATGATGCCTGGCACATAGTGTTAAATAAATGTTACCTTAAAAAAACAAGTCAAATTATAAACCAGAGACATCCTGCAGGGGAGGAGGAGGGAGAGAGATAGGAGGGAGGGAAGGAGGGAGAGAGGGAGGAGTACAAGGGACTGGTGATGGTACACAGATGCATTGGTGAAGGAAATTTTATGGGGACTACACCTGAGGGGGGTCAGAGGTGGGGGGAAGCAAACATTGTTTTAAAATGAACAATGATGTTTTATATATATATATAATATGTATATATATAAATATATATAAACATTCAAAATATGGAAAAAAGAAAGCGCCCCCCCCAAAAAAAAAAAAAAACTAATGAGTCAAATGTGTGGAGTTCGTTTTGTGTCAGATATACCTCAGTAAAGCTGTTTAAGAAAGAACCAAAAGATTATTGCACTAGAGACCAAGTTCTGTAGGTGATTTGTATGGAATCTGTACTGTAGACTCATAGTCATTTAAAAGAATACGTTCTTGGGCCTCCCTGGTGGTGCATGGGGTAAAGTCTCAGTACTATGAAGCTATCAGCAGCCACTGCAGCACAAGTTTGATCCCCAACTGGCCACGGAGCTAACCCTGTCTCGCCCACTGCTCCCCTCAGCAGTGCACTTCACTGGATCTGCCTATTCTGTTCCCTACTCTGTCTCTGGTGAATCCTCTCACCCCCCAACCCCACACCTTTGGCCTATACCCCACTCTTGTATGCATAAATAAATAAAATAAATCTTAAATACATTCTCATAAACAGGGTAATTTAAATATATGTTAACTATATTCTGTTGCCATGGAATAACCTAAGAAAGGGCATTAAAGTAGCATTGTGTTCTAGATCAGGGGTTGCAAACTTTTTCTTAAAGTGCCAGATTATAATTATTTGAGGTTTATGTACCGTATGGTTTTTGTTGCAATTAACTCAGTTCTGCCTTTGCACAGAGAAAACATAGACAGTTCATAAGCAGAAGAATGTAAGTGTTCCAATACTTTTTATTTTTTAACAAATTCAGGTGGTGGACTAACGGGCCATAGTTTGTTGACTATGGTTTAAGTAATAAACATAGCAGATACATTACCACAATGTGTTGTTGGACGATGTTTATAAATGGTGCTTTAACACCCAGTAAAACTGCTAAAAGTATTCAGGCTACCTGTATAAAAGTAAAGTTTCATAAAATTTCTAGTTTTGGAAATTTGTTTCTGTGAGTGATGTGATCTTTTTGTTTTACAGCCATCGGTGAGAAAGACACACTGCAGTGGTAGGAAACACAAAGAGAATGTAAAAGACTACTATCAGAAATGGATGGAAGAGCAGGCGCAGAGCCTGATTGACAAAACAAGTACGTGCCAGTCTCTTGTTCTGATGTGGTAGAATGGTCCCATTCTTTATTGTCCCTACTATGTTGTTTTTCACAGAAGCAACTCATTCTGAATGATAAACAGCAGCATTCTAATGTGTTGAATGAAAGAAGTGGAAGGTCATTGGTTTCCCAGGGCTATAGGAACACATTAATATTAATTATTGAGGTTAGAGCAGACATAGATACAGCAATCAGGAACTGGTTAGACTGGGAAGTGGCCAGAGAGTAATCGAGTTACCTGATATTTCTTTATTGACACAGACGAGATTTTGTAGTAGATTGGTATAAAACCCTCTCTGTCGTGACTCAGTTTTTAAACTATTTTCCTTTTACAATAGGAAAAGGTGGGGAGTAGGATTGTGGTTTTAGTGTTTGAACAACTTTGAGTCTCTTATTTGTGCTCCTCACAATGATAACTGCTCAAAAAGGAAATAACTAATGTGACAAAATAGTCTTGGTATGTTTTGGACCCTGTTGTGCATGTCATACTCATTTTGTTTAATTAGTAACATTTTTGTTGTTTAGGCTAGTTGGATCCAAGTCGCTGGCTGAACAAGATCTTGTGTTCCTATATTAGGTCATTGTGGTGTATTTGCAACATGGCCTTAATCATGCATTGTACTCAGAGCTGGCAGGCAAATGTGGACCTTGATTGTGATGTGACTTTTAAAAAAATCAAAAGTGTTGTGGAAAATTTCAAACAAAGTGACACTTTTAGACTCTTCAGACTTTTCTTCTCACAAAGCCTTTTCCCTTTGCAAAGCAGCAGCAGCAGATCTCTGCCTGTGTCTATGCAGGTGTCTCTCTTTTTCTTTTTCCTAATAAACTTGTCCTTTTAAAATGTTTTTTTTTTTAAAAAGGGACACTTTCAACCAACTACTCTCTAATGACTACCCTCCCTCCAGCCACCCAGCTACAACAATCTTGTTTTCATTTCTATAAAGGTTCTCACACTTACTGCTATTGCTATTTTTTTTAAAAAAGATTTATTTATGCATACAAGAACTGGGGTAAAGGCGGATGAGAGGATTGAGCAGAGCCAGAGTGGTCAACAGAACAGGCAGATCTACTGAAATATAGGTACTGAGGGGAGCAGCGGGCGAGACAGGAGAGGTCTGCTGTGCCATGTGGGTAGTTCCCTGGTCGGCCGGGTATTGAACTCGTGCAGCCGAGGCTGTGATAGCTTCACAGTGCTGTGCTTAACCCCTTGCGCCACCAGGGAGACCTGCTATTGCTATTTTAGACTGGATAATTCTTCACTGTGGGACTGTCCTGTATGTTGTAGGATGTTCAGCAACATTTCTGGCTTCTACCCACGAGATGGCAAGTAGCATTTCCCAAACGGTGACAACTAAAAATTTCTCCAAGCTTTGTATAAGTGTTGGAGGGAGTTGCCCCCAATTAGAAGTCATTGAATGCCTTCATCTACTCCTCTCTATTCCTGTTTCTCTCTCTTGGATAATTAAAGAGCAAATCTCAGATGTTACTCAATTTTATTTGAAAAAATAAACATTTTTTCTATTTTCCCTTGTTAGGAAAGATGTTAGAAGTTTCTTGGCATTAACGGCTAGCTTTATTTTCTTTCTTTCTTTTTTTTTAACATTTCATATAATTTTATTATTTTTTAAAATAAATTCTATTTTTATATTCCCCATACAATTGCAACCCCCTTATTTTGACCCCAGTCCCTCCTCCCCTCCCCTCCCCTCCCTCCCTCCCCTCCCCACACCCCACCCCCCATAGAGTGTCTCTGGTTCATAGTTTTTTGTTGATTTTGATTTTCACTTTCTTATAGTTATTCATTTTCCTGGTCCCTTATTTAAGTTTTCTAGATTCCTGCTATGAGTGAGACCATCCGCTAGCTTTATTTTCTTTTAAGTCATTTTTTTTTTTTTTTTTATGCACAGCAAAAGAAGTTAAGTATTTTTGATGAAAGCATTTTGGATGAGACTAGACCTTAAGAATACACCTTCTAGGTCTCCCTGGAGGTGCAAGGGGTTAAGACGCAACCTATGAAGCTACCTGCAGCCACTGCAACATGAATTCAATCCCTGGCCAGGGAGGTGACCCACATGGCGCAGCAGACCTCTCCTGCCTCACCTGCTGCTCCCCTCAGCAGTGTATTTCAGTCAGTCTGCTTGTTCTGTTCCTCACTCTGTCTCTGGTGAATCCTCTCACCCCCTGCACCTCTGGCCTATACCCCAGTTCTTGTATGCATAAATAATTTTTTTTTTTTTTTTAAGAATACACCTTATAATGTCATGATTAAATTGACATTGAGGCTACAATGGAACTCATCATTTTAGCCTCTCCCTTTTTAGTCTTTAAAACTGTTCTTCCACAAGGTGGGAGCTGCTTTTTTTTTTTTTTTTTTTTTTTTTAAAAGATTATTTATTTATACAAGCACTGGGTACAGTCAGAAGTGCGGGAGGGCGAGAGAATTCACAGAGCCAGAGCGGGGAACAGAACAGGCAGACCGACGAAATACACTGCTGAGGGGAGGCAAGAGAGGTCTGTTGCACCATGTGGGACCCCCGCTGGTGGCCAGGGATTGAACCAGTGCTGCAGAGGCTGTGGGCAGCTTCGCAGCCCAGTGCTCAACCGCCGCACCACCAGGGGAGCTGCCTTTTTGATTGGATAAAATCCCTTATTTAGTACAGACTTTATTTTAGAGACATATGAACAGCTGTTCATAAATTATCAACAATTTACTTAACTCCACCTCCTTTGCACTGGTAGGGGTAGAGTGAGATGAGGGTATGCAGTACAAAGGGTGTGGACATCACAGAATTTGGGAGGCCTTACATTCGGGAATAAATTTTATGAGTGCATATTTTAGTATATGTGACTCCTAAAATAAATGCTATTCCGGGTCTTTGTTTTCATTTGTGCCTCACATTGAGAGGAAAATTAAGTCTGTTGTATTAGGCATTTTTTAATATCATAATATCCTTTAGATCAGGCTCTTGCATTGAAATTGGTCATGTCTTCTAGCTCTGCATTAATTTCAGGACTAGTAAACCAAAAATGCATTGTTTCGACTCAGGACAGTAGGATTAAAGTATACAAGACTGGCCTTTGGGCAGGTAGGACACATTTCTCTAACAAAACTGTGAACTCTAGATGTGATTTATAACCACAGTTTAGAGATGACTGTCTTTGGGTGTCCCTGGTGGCACAAAGTCACAGCACTATGAAGCTATCAGCTGATCCCCGGCCAGGGAGCTATCCACATGACGCAGCAGACCTTTCCTGTTTTGTCTGCTGCTCCCCTCAGCAGAGTATTTCAGTGGGTCTAATTGTTCTGCTCCCTACTCTTGTCTCTTGTGAATCATCTTATTCCCTCACACCTCTGGCCTACACCCCAGCTCTGTATGCATAAATAAAATAAATCTTAAAGGAAAAAAATAAAGATGACTGTTTCGATCCGCCTTTTCTTCTCCTCACTCTGTCTCTGGTGAATCCTCTCTCTCACACACACACACACACACACACACCCCTGTCCCCGTCCCTCTTCTGTCCTGCACTCCAGCTCTTGTATGCATACATAAATCTTAAAATAAGTAAAGCTGACTGTCTTTGGTAAGACACTGATAGATAGGTAGGATGTTCCCACACCAGTCTCTTGTAGTTAATTCAGCTATAGAAATGCCAGCTAAATAAAAACAGGTCACAAAAAAAACCCCAAACAGTAAGCTAATTCATTGCTGGTAAATGCCTAAAGTTGATTTTAAAATTGTGTAGGACATGATGTAGTAATCTAAAATGAATGCTTTTTTAGAATGAAATAATTGGAGCCTTTAAGTATTTAAAAGAAACTGGTAAACTGGGTGGTTGAACCTTTTTTCACTGTATGTTGATTTTTCCCTCTCTCTCCGAAGCTGCTGCATTTCAACAAGGAAAGATTCCTCCTACTCCATTCTCTGCTCCTCCTCCTGCGGGGGCAATGATCCCACCTCCTCCCAGTCTCCGTAAGTTCATAAAATTTTCATATTGGGGGTCTAACTGGGCAGATTATCCTTTGGTTTTTTTTTTTTTTTTAAATAGAGGCATGCTTTATTTATTTGTTTTGCTGGTTTGTTGTTTGTTTTGTTATACATGCACTGGGTACAGTCGAAGCGCGGGAGGGTGAGAGAATTCACCAGAGCCAGAGCGGGGAGCAGAGCAGGCAGAAGGACCGAAGTACACTGCTGAGGGAGCAGCGGCGGCAGGAGAGGTCTGCACGCCATGTGGGACCCTCCTCTGGTGGCGGCGGGAGCAGCCGGGGATCGAACCGGCGCCGTAGAGGCCGTGGGCAGCTTCGCAACCCCAGCGCTCAACCGCTGCGCCACCGGGGAGGCCATATCCTTTGGTTTTGTTAAATGATCTCACAGTTGGCCCAGATCATGAGGCCCTGTTTGATTAAGAAGAGAAAATGTTAATATATAAGCATATTTTCTGACACCATTCTTTGTTTCAGCGGGTCCTCCTCGCCCTGGTATGATGCCAGCACCGCACATGGGCGGCCCTCCCATGATGCCAATGATGGGCCCTCCTCCTCCTGGGATGATGCCAGTAGGGCCCGGTAAGTTTGGCTCTCTTTCCATTGGTTTTTTTTTTTTTTAAAAAGATTTATTTTTATTTATTTATACAAGCACTGGGTACAGTCAGAAGCGCGGGAGGGTGAGAGAATTCACCAGAGCCAGAGCGGGGAGCAGAGCAGGCAGAAGGACCGAAGTACACTGCTGAGGGGAGCAGCGGGCGGCAGGAGAGGTCCGTGCGCCATGTGGAACCCTCCTCCCGTGGCCGGGGAGTAGCCGGGGATTGAACCAGTGCCCAAGCTGTGGGCAGCTTCGCAACCCAGCGCTCAACCATTGCGCCACCGGGGAGGCCCTCCATTGTGTTTTGAGTTTCCAGTTAAATGGAGTTAATAATTAGCTGTATACATTTATTATTGCAACAAATTATATTTGGTGAATCTATAATGATAGAAAAATAGTTTTTTGGTGTGTCAGTATAACTGGATGGTATTCAAAGACCTTGCACTACTGAAAAAAGAATGCCTCTTTTTTCCTCTCTTCTCCTGACTTTTGATCATTTATAATGAGGAAAAGGGTAGATAAACCTGTCCCACTGTGGATGAGTACACACTTGTGCTACTTTTTTAAATTTTGATTTGAAGTAGAGCTACCTCCTGTTGCTGATTTAATCTTGTAGATTAAGTCAAATCAGTATATGAAAAACTGCTTATGCCTAGTAATTACTCTTTTATTTGGGAAGGGGAAGAAAATTAAGACCTCAGACATTTTATTTTAACATAAAAACACATATGTTTGTGAATTTTTCTGCTACATGATCAGAATCTTTGGTTTGAGAACAAATCTGCTGATTGGAATACCATATATTTCTTGCATATCAATACAACATACCCATAATACATTCTTTTGTCAACTTTAATTTTATTTTCTTTGAAGTGGTTAGAGACCTTGTAAAGCAGTCTGTAATTTTTTTTATTATCTTGCCTACCAAATTTGACACAGTTTTTTGGGAATAATTTGCTTGATTCTTAGGTCTAGATCAGTTTCCTCTAATTGTCAACTTAGTTTTTATAGAAATAGTTCTTTTTTTTATTCTCTATGGTTTGCATAAAAACATATGTAAGTACAGCTGACATAAGATGCTTATTCTCAACAGGTAAGAGAGTACACAGGTATTAGAGTAGCTTCCTGGCTAGAAGCATTTAGTATGCTTTCTGTGAGTTTCATTTAGAGGGGTGGGGAATATAGATAAGAGTTCCTACCTTACCAAAGCCTCTGTGGTGCAAGTTCAATCCCCCAGATGGCCAGGGAGCAACCTACATGGCTCAGCAGACCTCTCCCGACTCTCCCTCTGCTCTCCTCAGCAGTGTACTTCAGTCAGTCTGCCTGTTCTGTTCCCCACTCTGTCTCTGGTGAATCCTCTCATCCCCCACTCCTCTGGCCTGTACCCCAGTTCTTATGTACATACATAAATAAATAAATCTTTAAAAAAAAAAAGAGTTGCTACCTTAATTGCTTATGAACCTACAACACAATAGGAGTGATTTAGACAGTGTCTTTTGCATTCTTAAATCACTTACAAACTCTGATTCTCAGAGGGGTTAGGTGTGTGGTGAACTGGGGCATCATGACCCACCTAAAGAAGGCTGCTAGAACTCAGCTTCAGCTGAGTTGACTTTTGAGTCATGCATGGTGCTGCCATTCCTCCTGAGTATTTACTGTTTTGACTCTGGATGGATAATTGTTCAAGCTGGATGATGGGCACGTGGATGTTCATTATATTTTTTCTTTTCTTGTTTATATTTGAACATCATAGGGAAAAGTTGAAAAAAGGAATCTAGATTTTCTTACCATAATTAGAGTTGCCAGTTGCTAATGTTGGCAACAAATTAAAAATTAAATGCACTGTGGAAGCCAAAAAAGAAATGTTTATGGATGCCTTGATTTTGATCTTGGGTCTAGATCAGTCTTATAAGAAATGTTGAATACAAGTTATGTTATGGTGAGATTTTTTAAATAAGATACAAGTTTAGTATTCTCTGTTCCTATTGGAATAGATCTTAAAAAGATTCTGTACCTGTTGGATTTTGTAGCTGTACTTATATTTGTTCTAAGTTTTGTGATAAAGATGTATTCAGCTTTGAATTTTCTCTTGAACCATTTTTAATCAAAAATAATTTAGTTAATAATTAGATAAAATCTGACATTTATAAAGATATATAACATGGAAATCATGAGGCATAATGATAAAATGAATTCTTGTGACCCTACCATTCAGCTGAGGAGGTAGAACATTACCAATTCCATGAAGCTGCCTGTATTCTTCCCCAACCCCCACATTTCTGCTTGCCCTTTCTTACTTGGCTCATTTACTTAGCTGGCTTTTTTTAAATAGGATACTTCAAGAAATCATTAATAGTTTCTAAAATGCTCTCGAAAAGTCATTTGTCTGTGCTAATTGTTACAGTTCAGTATATCGTTGGGTATTATTTTTCTTGGCTTCCTTTGAGTATGATTACTGAGATTTTCAGCCTGACCTGCACATCTTTTCTACAACTCTAAACAAATGCTTAGTGGGACGATTGTCCTCTGTACCAGTGTACATTCATGAAATAGCTCCTGGCTGTATGATGGATAGAACTGATGAAAGAGCTGACTGAATGACTTGTAACTTAGTTGTGAATTTCTGTGAGTGGAGAAGACCAGTTTATGGAATTGAGTCCCAGTCTCAGTCTATTAATAGTTTTCCTCTTACTAGTATTAGGTCATGATTCCTCTATGGTTCTTGTAGTTACCTTTTTCTTTTTTGTTTGAGAATATCTAAATAATTTACAGACACGATGAATTTACTGCCTATTTTTTCCTTCTCAAGTATGTCTTTTTTCCAGCATTTTCCCAAGGGGTCCTTTTTTTTATCTTTAATTGAATTCCCATCAAACCTTCATAAGTACGGTTTTCTCACCTTTTCCTTCTCTTTCTTACTGAAATTGCATGATGACATTATGTGTTTCAGGTGTTCATCATTGTGAATCAGTATGTGTATATACTACATCAACTACATTGCTAAAAATCCAAATTTTTGTTTTGTTCTGCAGCTCCTGGAATGAGGCCACCTATGGGAGGCCACATGCCAATGATGCCTGGACCCCCAATGATGAGACCTCCTGCCCGACCCATGATGGTGCCCACCCGGCCAGGAATGACTCGACCAGACAGATAAGGAGAGCGGAGGGCCTCTATCAGTTTTATTACTTGTTCTACTTCACCGGCAGATGATGGTGCTGTGACTTTGGGTGTTTTCTAACAGCACGATAAGGAAGACTTGCTCCCCCTTCCTATCAGAGAGGGAATAGTTTTGGAGGGACTAAGTAAGATAAAAAGAAAAAAACCTGAAATGTTCATTTGTATTGTGAAATGTGAAAATAAAATCGTCGACTCTTTTAAAAATGTGTTTCCTTTTTTCTCTCCTCTGTATTTTTTGTGTATTATAAAGTAGATGAAGCATTCCAGTTGTGTTTCTCCAGCTCATTCTCTCTTCAGCATGCTCTCTGTGTGACGTTTTTTTTTCCTTAGCTATGGAGTTGGGTCCCTTTGGGCACCTTGCCTTTAATTATAGATTCTCTCATGCAAGACTTTGGTAAATTTAACACTTGCATAGAACTTTGCTTGATTAAAATAATAAATAGCACTGATGGTTTAATTTTTCACATAAAATTTTGTGTAGTAAGTGAAAAATTTTCAGTGCTTTTTGCTGAAGTAGGGAAAAAGATTTCACACTTTGTGCATGTCAGCTAAAAATGGCATGAGTTGGCTTAACCTCAGCTTCTCCTTTCCCTCAATGCCTCTTTTTCTTAGGTTTCCTATAGTCCGAAAACTTGCTAATAGCAGTGGTAAAATTATTTAGTTTAGCATGTTATAGAATATTACTTATTTTGTCACTGGGATGTTTAAGTGTGGCTGTAAAAGTAAGCCATTGGCAGTGTTCTTGTTTAGCACTGCACTCAACCTGCTGTGCCACTGGGGAGGCCCCTGACAAAGATTATCTTTACACTTATCCTTTGTAGAAGCTGAGTCAGTTTCTAGTCCACGCCAGTGCCAGGACAGCTTGTTGCTCTTTAGTTTCTCCTTGTCACACCCTTTTAGATGTACTTAAGCCTCAGAAATAGTTCATATGTCTGTCTTATATTTTATAGCTCCAATTTATTGTTAAAATCTGTAGACTTAAATCCGATAGGGGAAATCTTGCCAAGCCGTTTACATTGTTTACATGTGACTCAGCATGTAACTTTGGATGGCTGTCAGCTAAGGGTGAGGAGGCTGTCTGTTGTGCATACACAGATACCTATTTAAAGCTAGGTACTTAGGAACACCTAGAACTTTTAAAAAGGAAACTTTTTCCAAAGTATGTTTTCACTGTTGAATATCCATTCTAGATACATTTCTAGCCTTTAAAGACTTTTACATAGTTTCAGAAAAGCCTTAAAAGTTTCGCAAATTTTAACTACAATGAACAAAAGTAGGAATAGACAATTTTTTTTATTTAAGATTTATTTACTTAGGCATACAAGATCTGGGCTATAGGCCAGAAGTGGAGAGGGCGAGTGAGAGGATTCACCAGAGACAGAGTGGGGAGCAGAACTATTGAAATACACTGCTGAGGGGAGCAGCGGATGAGCAGGAGAGATGCTGAGCCATGTGTGCAACTCCCTGGCTGGGTATCAAACTCATGCTGCAGTAGCTGGGGATTGCTTCATAGTGCTGACACTTAATCCCTTGTGCCACCTGGGAGGCCTGGAATAGACAATTCTAAGAAGGTTCTTTTTGTGTTTTTATTAACTCCTAAAGTAAATTATTATAAGAGATGATTATGTTTTCTAAGAGGCTGTGAAGATGATGAATTTCTGTTGATTTATGCCTTGGATGGATGTCTGGTTTTAATTTGAAAAATGAATCAATTATAATGTGAGAATTTGTAAGTACAAACAAGTTTGTAAGTACAAATAAGAATCCAGACCAGAATATAGGTACAACTACTAAATACCAAGAATTGAAGATGTTGGTGTACATGTGGGGTAACATATTTGCTTCCTTTTCTGTGGTACTTCCAGAGTCATAGCAGTTAAAGTCTAAGCTAGCATCATTTCCACTGCCATGGAGACAACGGTTTGTCAGAGTGCCAGTCATCTTGATTCCAAGTTGCATGAGAAATGGGATCCCTACATAGAGCCACAGTCTAATTTTGTTATCCTGTATGGAAAAAGTCCAATCCTGATTAAGTAAGTGTTTGTCCTAGTTACATAGCTTCAGCCAGATGGTATCTTTTAGACTCCTACAAACATTTGGTTAACAGGAGGAAAAAAGCCTTGCCTATTAGGTTTCTCTGCCAGAAGTGTCCTGAAATTGTCTGGAAATTGTTCGTGAAAAACTTAATAAATATCAACTAATTGGAGACACCTCTTTCCTTCCCAGCTTTATGGCACAGAATCATTTACAGCATTTAGAATAGGTCATCAGACAAGTGCAGGAATAAAACAATCTGAATGTTGCTTATTGTCCTTGCTCTTTAAGGGTGGGGGGATTTCAAACTTAGAGAAAAGTTGCAAGAACTGTACAAAAAATACTATTAATGCTTTGACCAGAATCACTTGTTGTTGGCTTTAGTCTTTCACCCTTTTTTTTTTTAAAGATTATTTATGCATACAAGATTTGGGGTACAAGCCAGAGGTATGGGGGGTGAGAGGATTCACCAGAGATAGAGTGGGTAACAGAACAGGCAGACTGACCAAAGTACACTGCTGAGGGGAGCAGTGGGCAAGTCAGTGGGCTGCGCCATGTGGGTGCTCCCTGGCTGGCCAGGGATCAAACTTGTGCTGCAGAGGCTGCGGATAGCTTCATAGGTTGTGCCTTAACCCCTTGCGCCACCAGGGAGGCCCCTCACCCCATTTTCTTTATTATTTTCTGAGCCATTTGAGAGTAAGTTGCTTCTATCATGCTCTTTACCATAAATGTTTGTATTTATTTTCTAAGTACATCCTCTTAGCTATAGCTTAGTGATCAAGCTCAGAAAATACAACCTTGATGCAATAATTTTATCTACCAACCATTTTTCATTTTTGTTCGTTGATTCAAGTTTGTCCTTGTATTATTTTTCCTTTCCTTATAGCGTTCTCTTTAGAATCATGTACTTTGTTTTCTTGTCATACTTATTTAGTCTCTTTTAATCTAGAACATTTCTAAGCGTTCTCTTTAGAATCATGTACTTTGTTTTCTTGTCATACTTATTTAGTCTCTTTTAATCTAGAACGTTTCCTCAGTCCATCTCTTTTATGATACTGATAATCTCATCACTTTTTGTCTGATAGGATGTTTCACATTCTGTGTTTGCCTGATGTTTCTTTGTGATTATATTCTGGTATGTGTCCTCAGTTGTATCCCTAGAATATCATATCTGTAGGCAGGTACATAAGGGCCATGCACTCCTTGTGGCTGGTAGTAATTTTGATTACTCTTCGAGGTGATTACCTTTCTGGCTGCCAATTAAAAAAAGCCCATTGTCTTCTCTTCCCATCTGATGATAATGACTTTGAACACAGTAGGAGAATACAAGATCTTTGTAACTATTTCCTAATCCTCCCTCCCTTTTCTTTGCCTGTGCATCATATACTAAGACTTTTTGAGGGATAATTGTTGAAAGAATAAAGAAGTAGAAGATGGGACAAAGAATTTTACCTTTGACTCAAATGTTAGATTTCCCCCTCTTTATCCCTTTTATCACTGAGGCTTCTGTAGTGAGTAAAGTATGTGAGAAGGGACAAAAGGAAGAGTAACATAATAAAGTCTAGTGCAGTAGACAGACATTACTGATTGCCTACCCCCATGTCTATTACTATTCATGATAATAATAGAGTTCTTAGTTTTTGTCTGGATCCACAACCATCTGCAATGAATAGCACATTTTCTTTTTTTTTTTTTTTTAAACAATGGTATACTTTTTTTTTTTTTTTAAATATTTATTTATTTATACAAGCACTGGGTACAGTCCGAAGCGCGGGAGGGTGAGAGGATTCACCAGAGCCAGAGCGGGGAGCAGAGCAGGCAGAAGGACCGAAGTACACTGCTGAGGGGAGCAGCGGGCGGCAGGAGAGGTCTGCGCACCATGTGGGACCCTCCTCGGTGGCCGGGGAGCAGCCGTGGATCGAACCGGCGCCGCAGAGGCCGCGGGCAGCTTCGCAACCCAGCGCTCAACCACTGCGCCATCCGGGAGGCCCTGAATAGCACATTTTCTATAGCTTATAGCTAGGTGAGGCCATTCGGCAAAAGAGAACATGCCTTTTTTGTGCCTTTTTGAGTTTTCTGTTATATGCAGTAGAAACTAACATGCCTGATAAAAAAGAATGTGCAGGGAAGAAAGGAATAGTGATGAACTTGTCCTGCTAGAAAATCTTGCCTTGCATTTGCCATGCTGATATTATTGAGTTTGGACACTTTTTTTTTTTAAAGATTTATTTATGCATACCAGAACTCTGGGGTACAGGCCAGAGGTGTGGGGGATGAGAGGATTCACCAGAGACAGAGTGGGAAACAGAACAGTTGGAGTGACTGAAATACACTGCTGAGGGGAGCAGCAGGCGAGTCAGGAGCGGTCTGTTGTGCCATGTGGGTCACCTCCCTGGCCAGGGATCAAACTCGTGCTGCAGTGGCTGCGGACTCCTTTATAGTGCTGCTACGCCTTAAACCCTTGTGCTGCCAGGGAGGCCCCTGGACACTGTTTAAGTGGTGGGAACATAATAGTAAAATGAATCTTTCCTTTTGTGGAGCTTATACTTTAAGGGGAATTGAGATAATGGGTGATCGGTGTCATGAAGAAAAATAAAGCGGGTAAGGGCATAAGGGATGACTTTGTGAAAGACATAAAGGGAGTAGTGGTAATGGTCGAGAAGCCACACAGATGTCTGGGACAAAAGCTTTCCAGACAGAAGGAATAGCCAGTATAAAGACCCTGAAGTGAGAGTCTAGTTACTGTTTTGGAGGAACAGCAGGGAGGCCAGTATATAGCTCTAAACAGAACTGTCAAGAATGATGGTTATGTCCATTATCTTGATTGTGGTGATTTTACAGGTGTGTATATAAGTCAAAATTTTAAAAATTATATGTCAATTTTACCTCAGTAAAGTTATTTTAGAATGTGATAGCTACCACATATTAGAAATCGCTCAGCAAATTCTTACAGACTGTCATAACGTATCTTTGCTACTATGTACTATGACTTAAGTGGATGTGGCCATCCTGCTGAGCAGGTGAAGGAAGCTCTGAGGTCTGAATAAAATGATCGGTTAAGTGTGTTTTTAAAATATATGGATTGGATACAGATCCAATGCTATTCCATTCAAAATTTCAATGTCATTCTTCAAAGAAATAGAACAATTATTGATGAAATTCAT